ATAAAAATTCATCTTAATTCAATAACCACGGTTACAGTTGAAACTTAAAATTTATTATATATCCACAATAAACATTCTTATGAATCATTCTAAATTTTAGTCAATATGAATGATGACTGCAGAATTCATAGTACATACGACAGAGACCGTCCAACAAATTGTGAGAATGGTTCTACAAGGTTATACAACAAAGAAAGTCATAATAATGGCATAAAAGCATGTGTTAGAGCTCATTAATGAGACCCATTAAACTGAATGTAGTAGGCCATTGACAAGCAAGTAAAAGACTACTAACTGAATGCACTGAGCAAGATTTAACCCAACCGAAGCCTAATTGATAAACTTATATAAAATGGAGCCATTACTCAACGTTTCAGACTTCAAACGGTTTACAATAAGCTCAACACACTACCATGATTGCTCAATATGACCACATTCTTACACAAATATACATTAACTGTTAGTTAGCACCCCACAAGTCAGCATACTATAGTACTAAAGACTTAAGAGACGCAAAACAATATTTACTATCACTAAAAAGAAAGAATTACAGATTGAAATGAAGGTAAAACAAACTTGAATCCATCAATGGCACACTCATGACACTGAATTTTCAATCAAAAAAACTGGTTTCATTGTGATGTCATTCAATTTATTACATGTCAAAATTCAAGCAAAAGGAAAAGATAAAACATTTGTAACTCATCGCCTACGCATCATATAACTAGCTTCAAAATCCAGTAAAGACAGACCACATTTTTCATGCCAAATACACCCTAAGCAGTAAATGTCACAATAGACAACCGCAAAAAAAAAGAGAATCCACAGATAGATACTCAATATCATCAAGAGCATTAAAGCACAGTAGTATACACAGATAACCAATCTTATCAAAAAATAAGACCATTAAAGCACGTTTAGTGAAGTAAATGACCTGAAAGATTTCAGCAAGGCTCTTTTGTTTGTTCCCGAGTGCTATTCCCGACAGGCCAATGAGTCCATCACCACCCCAATCTGCTGAGCCGTGAACCTTCTCAGACTCAAGCTCACTCTCTTGTTTCCTTGAATCAAACCCTGGTGGCATAGCAAATAAAGACCTACCGCCGTCGCCACCATTATCAGGTCCTCTATTCACTTTCCTCCTATCTCCCATTCCACCCAACACTGAACTCTCTCCTCTCAATCTCTGCGCAAACCTCCAATCCTCCTTAGAAAGCAAAGGAGGCGGAAGCCTGGGGTTCAGATTCACATTCGAGTAGTAATATGAAAGATAAGCTGGATCAGACCTAAGCTCTTCCTCAGAAGAGAAACCATTATTATTATTTCCAAGTTTACCCCTAGAAAGCTCCGATATGGTTGTGTTATTAGCACTAAAACCACCGCCAAATAAGCCACCAACTGCACTCAAAGAACCCTCCACAGTTGGTGGCGCCGAACCACTTCTATACAAGTTAAGCTCACGCTCACGGTCACGATCATCAACCTCTTGTCTACTACGCTGTTCACGGAGCAATAAACCTATTTCCTTCTCCAAATCATCATCAAACGAGCCGTCGTTTCCACCTATCATCGGTCTCCTCCCCAATTCAGATAACATTATCTAAACAAGAAACCTAATTGATCATAACCCTTTTTGTTCAACAAAGTCAGAAGATAATCACTGCCCAGATGCAACAATCAGGCTCTAAACCCTAAAACATTCACAAAATGGAGCTTCTAAAGACCAAACAACTAGACCTCATATTTACAGACCCAAAAAAACTCAACTTTGAAGGACTAAAAATCAAAACTTGAACCACCTCAGCAACTAAAACTAAAATACTCTGATGATCAAAGCAAGAAATAACGATTAAAGGATGGATTAAGTTATATATCAGGAATTAAAGAAACAAAATTTATGCAACATGTTTTCCAATTAAGAAAAAAAAAAAAAGGGTTGTAAGAAAACACCGAACAAAAAGCAGTTGAAACAGTAAGGTGAGAAGAAAAGAGAGGTTAGAGAAGGAAAACTAAAGGAGATGAATCCGGCGGCGAATGGTTCATAGAAGAACCCTTATTAGGGTTTTGTTGCAATTGATGAAGGGGATTAAATACAGTGATAGTAAAAATAAGAAATGGATATTTGTTATTTAATTTAATTTAAAAAAGAAAAGAGGAAAAACACAATGAATAGTGCTAATGAAAAAATGTCCTGAAAAATAGGGCTAATTGACCAAAAGCTAACCGGCTGATGTTAAAATTTTGTTTTGATTTTAGGGAAAGAGTAAGAGAAGAAGAAGAGATAATGATGGTTTGGTTTCCTCGTGTTGTAAAAGAGGAATCTGTGACTGACACGTCAGCTCTTTAGATTCGCTGCTTTAACTTAGTTAAACTAGAGTACCTGCAGTTAATTTCTGAACAACTGCCCCCTCCCCTTCCGTTTCTTTTATTATCAATTTCAGCGGTGAATAAATAAATAAAATTATTTTATTTTTATCTTTAAAAAGCAAAATCTAGATTCTATTGAGACATTGATGTCCAATTAATCATCAAGTTTGTTTTGCTAAACAAAGAAACTGAATAAATTCTGTTGTTGTTGATGCAAATAAAACTAACCCATGTCTACAAAAGACAATAACTGCTCTTGTAATGGTTAAGTAGTGAGCAGCTCATGTTTTCCAAGGAAAATGAAGCTATTAGTTGTGACTATAAATTAATTAATAAATATTGCATTTAAAACGTTTAATAAATTAGTTAGATGTTGGCAAACCCACAACCAAACAGTAAATCTAATATTATGAAGTTATAATAAATCATGTGAGTTGAATTAATTAACACGAATGATAAAGAAAGTGAGGTCAACGTGAATTAATGATAAAGTGAGGTTGATAATATCGAAAACAAAGCATGTGCCTAACATCAGTCTGAAACTAAACTTATCATATTGTTTTTGTCATTGAAAACAAGGAGAGGGAGTGGGAGTGAGTCTGAGTAGGTATTTATTATAAGCATGGTTAGGTTTTTAGGAAGTTGGACATATTGACATTTCTCTCCACTTCTCGCAAGAGGAGATACTTGTATTGAAATTTATGTTGTCCCATTCTTTCGCTAATTTAGACTTTCTCTTNAGAAAGTGAGGTCAACGTGAATTAATGATAAAGTGAGGTTGATAATATCGAAAACAAAGCATGTGCCTAACATCAGTCTGAAACTAAACTTATCATATTGTTTTTGTGATTGAAAACAAGGACAGGGAGTGGGAGTGGGAGTGGGAGTGAATCTGAGTAGGTATTTATTATAAGCATGGTTAGGTTTTTAGGAAGTTGGACATATTGACATTTCTCTCCACTTCTCGCAAGAGGAGATACTTGTATTGAAATTTATGTTGTCCCATTCTTTCGCTAATTTAGACTTTCTCTTCTTTATCACCATCATCATATAACACATCTTTCAACTTAAAGAGAGAGTAAACGAATTTTTCTCACTCAAAATACCACTTTACTATCAAACTATAACTCCGTTATAAAACCACAACGAGTAACCAAGTATCGGGGTTAAAGGGGTTTTGAAGAAAGGAGACCAAAGGTTGAAATGATGGTGAAAGATTGGATTTTGACGGTCGGAATCGGTGCTAAAGCAACGAAACCCTAAGTGGTGGAAAGCGGCGAACGACTTTCAATTGGAGTCGAGAAGTTTGGGGCTTTGGAGATTGGAGGCTGGTGAGTTGATTGGTGGTCTTACAAGGGAATTTCGACTCTGAAAGCAGCCTAAAAGGGCAAGAATCGTGCGAACCAACCGTGTGCGGTGGCGGGTGAATTAAGAGGTTAGACGGACAGGAGTGGAAGGGATTTTGATGAGGGACTGATATGGAGTATTTTGGTGGTAGTGGGAGGGCTTAACGACGGTTGACACTATTTTCTTTTCTAGTTGATTCCATGATCAGAAATTATCCCTGTCACCACCAATCAACTCAACAGTTCTTCCTCTTCAAAAGCTTCAACATTCTTGATTCTGTTTACTCACCAATCACCGACTATTGAAACTTTCCCACCTAGGGTTTTTCGAGTATTGATTGATGAATTGGGTTTGATTCATTTGCTTTTTTGTATTTGTTAGGTTGAAAGACGATTGAGAAAGGTTTATCTAAAGTGTTTGTGATTTGTTTATTGATTTTCTAGTCGTTGACACTCCTCAACGTCAACAATAGTTATCGATAATGGAAGAAGCTAAGAAGGGATAATGATATTTTTGTCTTCACAATGAATATCATTATATTTAATGAAATTATGGTTTGAATAATAAAGTGGTATTTTAAAATATTTTGGTGAAGAGAAAGTATGATCAAGGCAAACCTTAGGTGGGAAAAAGTCGCTTACTTTTAGAGAGAGATTGGATATAAGCAGATAAGTAGAGGCATAATTAGAAGTTGATGATGTGAGACCCGGAATATGAAAACCAAGACTGAAATACATGGGCCCAACGTTGATGGTGTATGGTAGAAAATGACACCAACCCACATCATAAAATTTTATTAAACCAATTTTTGTTTCCAAGGAATGTGGCTATCTATATAAAGATTCCATTTACCATCACCCCTCTCCATCCTATAATATGTTCTCTAATTTGTATATATTCCTTCATTATCATGCTATAACACAATAAGCTACAGCAGTACTGAAGTCGGTCATTATTAACTTTAAAATATATATATTCTACTTTTAACGCGTGAATCAGAGTAGTAGATGATGTTTAGGAGACAATCATAAGTGGACTGGACACCATTCATTTCTTCACTGATCCAACAACAAAGATGCTTTTTCTCTCTAATTAATTACTTCCAAATATATTCTCATGTTTTTACCGTGGAAAAACAACACGCACTTGCCTCGTTAAGCATCTTCCTGCCTTTGCCAGGTGTCTCAAAATCTATGAACATTTCATTTTACAATTTTACCCTTCCATAAAGTCAAAGTGTCTCCCTGCGACTCAGCTCCACGTCAATAAACCGTGTGCTTCATCCGTTCACACCGCTATCTCTGCCTTTTGTATATAGCCACCCACTTTGCTTTGCTTCTTCTTCTCCAAATCTATCAGACTTTGTCTTCGTCTTTATTGCTTTTTTGAAGTCTTCCTTTTACACATGTCATCACCCACAACATCATCGTATTGGTGTTACAGATGCCTACGGATCATAAACCATTTTTCTCCACACAACCACATAGCATGTCCGTATTGCGACACTGGATTCATAGAAGCAATCCAAACAGAAGCTACAACCACCGAACCAGATAGTTTAACCCCTCCACTACCAACCTCCTCGATGTTTATGATTAACAACAGTAATTCACGGCGAAGAAATCGCCACAACTCTCACGACCAGCCACCTTCAACCGTCAACCCAGTGATCCTCCTACAAGGCCAGCCCAATGAAGAAATCGACAACAATAACCACAGCATCTTTGAACTGTACTACGATGACGGATCTGAGTCGGGTCTCAGTCCAATACCCGAGAGCGTGATGGAATTTTTGATGGGTTCAGGTTTTTATTTGTTACTTCGACAGCTATCTCATGTTGATATAGCAGGGTTAACTCGGCCGGATAATTTACCAGCATCAAAAGCTGCCATGGAGTCCATCGCAACAATTGAAATCTCATCCGCCGATATAAATTCAGAGAGTCATTGTGCAGTATGTAAAGAAGAATTTGAGCTTGGAAATTTAGCAAGAGAGCTGCCATGCAAACATATTTACCACGAAGGTTGTATATTACCATGGCTAGAAATGCGCAACTCGTGCCCAGTTTGCAGGAAGGAGTTACCGGCAGCTGAAGAAAATGAAGGAGGAATGATTGGGTTGTCTATATGGAGATTGCCGGGAGGTGGATTTGCGGTTGGGAGATATAACGGGAGGAGATCGGCGGCAGGAGAGAGGGGGCTATCATTTATGTTTAGTGATATGGATAATTCATTTGGTGAAAGTGGTAGGATTTCTCCGAGGAGGGTTGCGTGGTTTGGGAGGAGTTGGGAGAGAGATCAGAGAGGTGGTGGTGGGCTGAGGAGGGCTTTCCGTGGACTGGGAACCTTTTTCAGAAGGTTTACATGCAGGGGGGAACAATAATTTTAGGCATGTATGAAGATAATAAGATATGTTTAGATTCTTATTTTCAATTAATTTAGGAATAATTATTATTTCATCTACAAATCTTTTACACTTGCTTTGTAAATTCGACCCTGTTATTAATGGGGTGCGTTTAAAATATGGTTTTTTTAACCATACAGGTGCCTATAAGGAGACTGAAATTCCAAACCTTACAAGAGCAAACTACAGGCTTAACCATTCGACTAAACCTTCATGGGTGTATTAATTAAATAGGCATAATTTGTTCAGGCATGTTTCATTTCCTTAATTTAGATTTGAGACTGTAAAACATAAATGATTCAAAGTAGGTAGAGGTAGGGACTCGGAAGAAGCAATGTTTTTGTAGTTTATGTACAGTTTTCATCCTTCTCTAAATGTCATTTAATTCATAAAAAGATATATTAGTTGTACCCAGTAAAAGGATATATTCTAAATCTTTGTGAAATGCTTTGATTTGTGATGGTGGGACTGATACTAAGAGGAAAGCGAGAAAGAAGAATGATTTGATTCATTAAAATATGTCTTCTGTAGGCCTCCTGTGGCTGGAGAATATTGTATATGAGAATTCGTTTCAATTATAATCCCACTAGCTTATAAAAAGTGATGCCTGATGAAAATGGGGCATCGTCATTTGCTCAAAAGCACTAGCTTTTTGCATATCTTGCTGGACCTGGTCCTTAGACAGGTCTTATATTTCATTTTTTTTCTCTTTGACAAAGAATTGGTCAGAATCAGATATATATCTTGTCCATTCTCGTGTACGATGAGGATGAGAAGGTAAACTTCACATCAAGTGGACAAAACGGTGGCTGATATACAGCTATGGTTCATAAGTGGTGGGCGGTTCCTACAATTTAATAATATAGGGCAGGCAATAGCGATATTTGCAGTAACTTTGACGAATTCAAAGCTGAAAAGAGGAGAAGCCTTGGAAGACTATATATAAAAACTCTTAAGACTAAAGAAGCGAAGAGAGTTTGTCCTTTGCACCGACCGACCCGGTTGTCCACTTACGCACGCACTTGCAATTTATGAAAACACCTCGAAGCTCGATCGGTTATTCAGTGAAAGTGTAGATAAGGTTAATAGAATGCGGCAATTAAATTGTTTCTTGTTGCACAACACTTGCCATATATGTCTTTTGTGTAGACCAATTTCAAGGGGAAAAGATGTCCATGTGGAGACGATGGTAAAAATCCTGACACACTTCAATTTCAATTATATCAACCAAATTTCTTTGTTCATCAAGATTATATGGGTTTACTTGATACTTCACTAGAGAGCAAATGACTTGTAATGGACAATAATCATGTACTAAAATATTAACCACCAAGTTCAAAGGTTTAATTACTTCAGCAAAGATAAAATAAATGTATGAAAATATTAACGTACAGCCATAATTCTTTTGGGTCAAATATAATTTAAATTTAGATATTTAATAAGTTGACTCTAAGTTTTTTTTTTTTTTTTTTAATAAAGCTATATAATTGGATTGAATTGCTTTTAAATTGGATTTACTTAGCAAATTCAACCATTCATCCAATCCAATTGGAATCTCAAAATCGAATTGGAATCTCAAAATCGTGATCTAGTCCTATTAAATTAAATCATCAAATCTGATCAAATTGGATCGGTTTGGATTGATTGGTTGGTTTAATTGGATTGGACTGGATTTTAAACTGCTCTAATATGAATTGTATAAGTAATCATATTAACGGCCGAGTATAGGTTGCATACTTCAACGCCATCCATTTTCGGAACTAGTTGATTCGATAGGTGAGTTATTATACATTCTTTAGCGAATTTCAACTTCCATGACTATCGTCCTGCTGTCTTAATCAACCAACACCCTTGGTGGGTTCTAGGTTGGTGTGTAATTGGGCACTGTAACCCGACTTTCAGTTCAACCCACATCGCCAATTCTACTTACAAAAAATGACTCATTTGGAGCTCTCGATTCCGTGGTGCAGCTTAACGAAGCAACTATAACATCCTACCTATTTAAAGTTTGAAAATAGGTCGAGAACGTTGCGCCCCTAATGCCTCTAATCATTGGTTTTATCCAATAGAACTCGCCTACAAGGTCAGCTATCCTGAGGGAAACTTTGGAAAGAACGCCCCCATACCCAAGTCAAACGAATGATTTGCACGTTACTATCGTTGTGGGCCTTGGGTTCTTGATACATAGATGCAAGTATTATATTGTAACAACTATTTATGCATAGTTATTAGTTAAACAAGTTTTAATATGAACAAATACTGTAAATAAAACTATAGGGAGTAAGAGATTGATTACCTAAATCTAACTTTTAAGAGGACAGATCCGACGGTTGACATAAAGTCATTCTCTCTTTCATAAGTCGTGGCAGCGCTTCGATTTAAAGCAAGTTGACGTGGCAGCCTCTAGAGTCTTCAAAATAATCACTTCAACGAATACTCACAATTTCCACTATTAAAACAAAGCCAGCGCCATTTGCACAGATCCATCTCACTATCTGCTTTCTTTCCTCACTCTCACAATTGTAAGTTTTTTTTTTGTTCTTTTTTTTGTTCTGTGTTTTATTTTCCTGAGAAATTGCTGGAAAACGCGAGAAAGTTCTTTTCAGAATCTCTTCATCAATGATCATCCTTTATTTATTTTAAAAATTTTAACGCAAATTTAGGTCAATGACCAGCATCAAAAGCTGCCATGGAGTCCATCGCAACAATTGAAATCTCATCCGCCGATATAAATTCAGAGAGTCATTGTGCAGTATGTAAAGAGAATTTGAGCTTGGAAATTTAGCAGAGAGCTGCCATGCAAACATATTTACCACGAAGGTTGTATATTACCATGGCTAAAATGCGCAACTCGTGCCCAGTTTGCAGGAAGGAGTTACCGGCAGCGGAAGAAAATGAAGGAGGAATGATTGGTTGTCTATATGGAGATTGCCGGAGGTGGTTTGCGGTTGGGGATATAACGGAGGAGATCGGCGCAGGAGAGAGAGGGCTGTCATTATGTTTAGTGATTGGATAATTCATTTGGTGAAAGTGGTAGATTTCTCCGAGGGGGTTTGCGTGGTTTGGAGGAGTTGGGAGAGAGATCAGAGAGGTGGTGGTGGGCTGAGGAGGGCTTTCCGTGGACTGGAACCTTTTCAGAAGTTTACATGCAGGGGGGAACAATAATTTTAGGCATGTTGAAGATAATAAGATATGTTTAGATCCTTATTTTCAATTAATTTAAATAATTATTATTTCATCTACAAATCTTATACATTTGCTTTGTAAAATATGGGGTGCGTTTAAAATATGGTTTTTTTACCATACAGATACAGTGCCTATAAGGAGACTCAAATTCCAAACCTTATTAAGTGAGGTCAACGTGAATTAATGATAAAGTGAGGTTGATAATATCGAAAACAAAGCATGTGCCTAACATCAGTCTGAAACTAAACTTATCATATTGTTTTTGTCATTGAAAACAAGGAGAGGGAGTGGGAGTGAGTCTGAGTAGGTATTTATTATAAGCATGGTTAGGTTTTTAGGAAGTTGGACATATTGACATTTCTCTCCACTTCTCCGAAGAGGAGATACTTGTATTGAAATTTATGTTGTCCCATTCTTTCGCTAATTTAGACTTTCTCTTATTTATCACCGTCAATCATATAACACATCTTTCAACTTAAAGAGAGAGTGAACGACTTTTTCTCATTCAAAATACCACTTTACTATCTAAACTATAACTCCATTATAAGTCCGTTATAAAACCATAATGAGTAACTAAGTATCTGGGTTTAAGGGGTTTTGAAGAAAGGAGACCAAAGGTTAAAAGGATGGTGAAAGATTGGATTTTGACCATCGGAATCAGGTAGAATTGGTGCTAAAGCAGTGAAACCCTAAGTGGTGGAAAGCGGCGAACAACATGCAATTAGAGTCGGGAAGATTGGGGTTTTGGAGATCGGAGGCTAGTGAGTTGATTGGTGGTCTTAAAATGGATTTTCGACGCCGAAAGCAACCTAAAAGGGCAAGAATCGCGCCAACCAACCGTGTGCAGTGGCAGGTGAATTAAGAGGTTAGACGGACAGGAGTGGAAGGGATTTTGATGAGGGAGTGATGTGGAGTATTCTGGTGGCAGTGGGAGGAGTCAACGACCCCAGATTTAGGTAGAAATAGCTTGAAAACGATAGTCAATGCCATTTTCTTTTCTAGTTGATTCCATGATCGGAAATTATCCCAGTCACCACCAATCGACTCAATAGCTGTTCCTCTTCAAAAGCCTCAACATTCTTGATTCTGTTCACTCATCAATCGCCGACTATTGAAGCTTTCCCACCTAGTTGATTGATGAATTAGGTTTGATTCATTTGCTTTTTTGTATTTGTTAGGTTGAAAGATGATTGAGAAAGGTTTATCAAAAGTGTTTGTTGATTTTCTGGTCGTCGACACTCGACACTCCCCAATGTCGACAACAATTATCGGCAATAAAAGGGATAATAGTATTTTCGTTTTCACAATGAATACCATCATATTTAATGAAATTATGGTTTGGGTAATAAAGTGTTATTTTGAAACATTTTGGTCGAAAAAGTATCATTAAGGCAAACTTTAGGTGGAAAAAGTCGTTCACTTAAAAGAGAGATTGGATTTGAGCAGATAAGTAGAGGCATAATAAAAAATTGATGATGTGAGACCCGGAATATGAAAACCAAGACCGAAATACATTGATGAATGATGATGATGGTAGAAAATGACACCAACCCACATCATAAAATGTATTAAACCAATTTTTGTTTCCAAGAAATGTGGCTATCTATATAAAGATTCCATTTACCATCCATCACCCCTCTCCATCCTATAATATGTTCTCTAATTTGTATATATTCCGCGTATGAGCCTTCATTATCATGCTATAACACAATAAGCTACAGCAGTACTGAAGTCGGTCATTATTAACTTTAAAATATATATATTCTACTTTTAACGCGTGAATCAGAGTAGTAGATGATGTTTAGGAAACAATCATAAGTGGACTGGACACCATTCATTTCTTCTCTGATCCAACAACAAAGATGCTTTTGCTCTCTAATTAATTACTTCCAAATATATTCTCATGTTTTTACCGTGGAAAAACAACACGCACTTGCCTCGTTAAGCATCTTCCTGCCTTTGCCAGGTGTCTCAAAATCTATGAACATTTCATTTTACAATTTTACCCTTCCATAAAGTCAAAGTGTCTCCCTGCGACTCAGCTCCACGTCAATAAACCGTGTGCTTCATCCGTTCACACCGCTATCTCTGCCTTTTGTATATAGCCACCCACTTTGCTTTGCTTCTTCTTCTCCAAATCTATCAGACTTTGTCTTCGTCTTTATTGCTTTTTTGAAGTCTTCCTTTTACACATGTCATCACCCACAACATCATCGTATTGGTGTTACAGATGCCTACGGATCATAAACCATTTTTCTCCACACAACCACATAGCATGTCCGTATTGCGACACTGGATTCATAGAAGCAATCCAAACAGAAGCTACAACCACCGAACCAGATAGTTTAACCCCTCCACTACCAACCTCCTCGATGTTTATGATTAACAACAGTAATTCACGGCGAAGAAATCGCCACAACTCTCACGACCAGCCACCTTCAACCGTCAACCCAGTGATCCTCCTACAAGGCCAGCCCAATGAAGAAATCGACAACAATAACCACAGCATCTTTGAACTGTACTACGATGACGGATCTGAGTCGGGTCTCAGTCCAATACCCGAGAGCGTGATGGAATTTTTGATGGGTTCAGGTTTTTATTTGTTACTTCGACAGCTATCTCATGTTGATATAGCAGGGTTAACTCGGCCGGATAATTTACCAGCATCAAAAGCTGCCATGGAGTCCATCGCAACAATTGAAATCTCATCCGCCGATATAAATTCAGAGAGTCATTGTGCAGTATGTAAAGAAGAATTTGAGCTTGGAAATTTAGCAAGAGAGCTGCCATGCAAACATATTTACCACGAAGGTTGTATATTACCATGGCTAGAAATGCGCAACTCGTGCCCAGTTTGCAGGAAGGAGTTACCGGCAGCTGAAGAAAATGAAGGAGGAATGATTGGGTTGTCTATATGGAGATTGCCGGGAGGTGGATTTGCGGTTGGGAGATATAACGGGAGGAGATCGGCGGCAGGAGAGAGGGGGCTATCATTTATGTTTAGTGATATGGATAATTCATTTGGTGAAAGTGGTAGGATTTCTCCGAGGAGGGTTGCGTGGTTTGGGAGGAGTTGGGAGAGAGATCAGAGAGGTGGTGGTGGGCTGAGGAGGGCTTTCCGTGGACTGGGAACCTTTTTCAGAAGGTTTACATGCAGGGGGGAACAATAATTTTAGGCATGTATGAAGATAATAAGATATGTTTAGATTCTTATTTTCAATTAATTTAGGAATAATTATTATTTCATCTACAAATCTTTTACACTTGCTTTGTAAATTCGACCCTGTTATTAATGGGGTGCGTTTAAAATATGGTTTTTTTAACCATACAGGTGCCTATAAGGAGACTGAAATTCCAAACCTTACAAGAGCAAACTACAGGCTTAACCATTCGACTAAACCTTCATGGGTGTATTAATTAAATAGGCATAATTTGTTCAGGCATGTTTCATTTCCTTAATTTAGATTTGAGACTGTAAAACATAAATGATTCAAAGTAGGTAGAGGTAGGGACTCGGAAGAAGCAATGTTTTTGTAGTTTATGTACAGTTTTCATCCTTCTCTAAATGTCATTTAATTCATAAAAAGATATATTAGTTGTACCCAGTAAAAGGATATATTCTAAATCTTTGTGAAATGCTTTGATTTGTGATGGTGGGACTGATACTAAGAGGAAAGCGAGAAAGAAGAATGATTTGATTCATTAAAATATGTCTTCTGTAGGCCTCCTGTGGCTGGAGAATATTGGATATGAGAATTTGTTTCAATTATAATCCCACTAGCTTATAAAAAGTGATGCCTGATGAAAATGGGGCATCGTCATTTGCTCAAAAGCACTAGCTTTTTGCATATCTTGCTGGACCTGGTCCTTAGACAGGTCTTATATTTCATTTTTTTTCTCTTTGACAAAGAATTGGTCAGAATCAGATATATATCTTGTCCATTCTCGTTTACGATGAGGATGAGAAGGTAAACTTCACATCAAGTGGACAAAACGGTGGCTGATATACAGCTATGGTTCATAAGTGGTGGGCGGTTCCTAAAATTTAATAATATGGGGCAGGTAATAGCCTAATTTGTAGTAACTTGTGACGAATTCAAAGCTGAAAAGAGGAGAAGCCTTGGAAGAATATATATAAAAACTCTTTAAGACTAAAGAAGCGAATAGAGTTTGTCCTTTGCACCGACCCACCCGATTGTCCACTTACGCACGCACTTGCACTTTATGAAAACACCTCGAAGCTCGATCGGTTATGCAGTGAAAGTGTAGATAAGGTTAATAGAATGCGACAATTAAACTGTTTCTTGTTGCACAACACTTGCCATATTTATCTTTTGTGTATACCAATTTCAAGGGAAAAAGATGTCCATGTGGGGACGATGGTAAAAATTCTGACACACTTCAATTTCAATTATATCAACCAAATCTCTTTGTTCATCAAGATTATATGGGTTTACTTGATACTTCACTAGAGAGCAAATAACTTGTAATGGACAATAATCATGTACTAAAATATTAACCACCAAGTTCAAAGGTTTAATTACTTCAGCAAAGATAAAATAAAAGTATGAAAATATTAACGTACAACCATATTTCTTTTGGGTCAAATATAATTTAAATTTAGATTTTTAATAAGTTGACTCTTAAGTTCTTTTTTTTTATAAAGCTATATAATTGGATTGAATGGCTTTTAAATTGGATTTACTCAGCAAATTCAACCATTCATCCAATCAAATTGGAATCTCAAAATCGTGATCTAGTTCTATTAAATTAAATCATCAAAACTGATCAAATTGGATTGGTTTGGATTGATTGGTTGGTTTAATTGGATTGGATTGGATTTTAAACTGCTCTAATATGAATTGTATAAGTAATCATATTAACGGCCCAGTATAGGTTGCATGTTTCAATGTCATCCATTTTTGGGACTAGTTGATTTGGGAGGTGAGTTGTTGCACACTCCTTTGCAAATTTCGACTTCCATAATCACTATCATGTTGTCTTAATTGACCAACACCCTTTGTGGGTTCTAGGTTAGCGCGCAGTTGGGCACCGTAACCCGGCTTCCGGTTCATCCCGCATCGCCAATTCTATTTACAAAAAATGGCCCATTTAGAGCTCTCAATTCCATGGCGCGGCTCAACAAAGCAACCACGCCGTCCTACCTATTTAAAGTTTGAGAATAGGTTGAGGATATTGCGTCCTGATACCTCTAATAATTGGCTTTACCCAATAGAACTCGTCCGAAAGGTTCAGCTATCCTGAGGGAAACTTTGGAAGAAATGCCCCTATACCTAAGTCAAACGAATGATTTGCAGGTTAGTATCGTTGTGGGCCTTGGGTTCTTGATACATAGGTGCAAGTATTATATTGTAACAACTATTTATGCATAGTTATTAGTTAAACAAGTTTTAATTTGAACAAATATTGTAAATAAAACTATAGGGAGTAAGAGATTGATTACCTAAATCTAACTTTTAAGAGGACAGATCCGACGGTTGACATAAAGTCATTCTCTCTTTCATAAGTCGTGGCAGCGCTTCGATTTAAAGCAAGTTGACGTGGCAGCCTCTAGAGTCTTCAAAATAATCACTTCAACGAATACTCACAATTTCCACTATTAACACAAAGCCAGCGCCATTTGCACAGATCCATCTCACTCTCTGCTTTCTTTCCTCACTCTCACAATTGTAAGT